ATTCAGTCAGGTTCTCTTCACATGGGTTGTACGTTCATCCATGTGGCTCACACGACTAATTAATCAAGATTTGTTTTTGTTCTTTCCTGAAGAAGGAAAAGACACATCAATGGAGAAAACACCTTCACGAATGATATTAAAAGGGCAACGACTCATTACTGTAAGTCATCGAGTCCACCTACCCCACTTCCAAAGCATATTTCCCGGTTCGAGGATGGTCTCATTCAAGTTCAACAAATTCTTCTCCTCCGTTCTTCTCGCCGTTCTCTACTCCTCCTCTGCCAACGCTTTGGCTTTGGCTCCTCCTACAACTGCGAAATTGAGTACTCACCACGTGAGGGACCTCCCAAGTGGTGTCAAGGTTACCGTTTTCCACCCCGAGTCCGATTTCAAGGTTCATCAACTACTTCTGATTCTACTGTTCATATTATTGACCCCCCGATAACGCGTTAATTAGACTTTTGGCGACGGCCTTGACATTCCTCCATCGTTCTTCCCCTTGGGCATTGAAGACAAGACAACTCAGTTCGTCTCATCTCAACTGAACGTGGACTCTACAACGGTGTCTTTCAAGTCCGGGTACACCAGGGAAAACGGAGAAATATTTGGATACGCTAAACAAGCTCATGTGAGTTTCCGATCCTCCATGCCTTTTGGATGCCCGTCTGAGAGTCATCTACAGGACGGTGTCCCCTTCGTGAACGCTGTTGCCAACGTCGTGTTCAAAAACAACAAAGTCGTCTCTTTCGGCCAATCTTTTGTTGACACCTGTAAAATCTCTTCCATATCTTTGAACCCGCCCTCTAGCTAACATTTGGGAATATCAGCTAAGATCGCGGATTCAAAACCCACTGTCGATGTTTCAACCGTCATTCCAAACGTGGAATCAACCTTACAGGGCAAGAAGAACGAAATCGACCCGACCATCGAGTATCTTGCTTTGCAAGACGGCACCGTTGCTCTCGCTCACGTCTTCCAAGTTCAGAACGACGATGCTGGGACGTGGTATGAAGCTTATGTCGATGCTCATTCCGGAGAGTTGCTCTCTGTCACCGACTTTGTTGCTCATGCTTCGGTGAGTGGAGTCCGCGCTATTCCAACCTAACTGAATGGTTTGAACTAAATCACTATTTTACCGTAGTACCGTGTACTTCCGGTCTGGAAAATGGACCCCAGAGATGGTCTCGAACTCCTAACGAACCCCGCACTTCCCAACGCATCCCCCAATGGATGGCATGATCCCAGCGGTACAACGACCCAGTGAGTTGAACACTGTTAAAACTGCGTCCTTCCATTCTTTTTCCTCAACAGATTGTTTTTGGCAGGGGTAACAACGTGATCAGTTTCAAAGGCACACAAACCAATACTACCAAGGAATCCGCCAATGGTCAAGTCTTCGACTACACTTACGACATGACCCTGAACCCCACTCAGGGTGCCAATATCGATGCTGCTCGTACGAATGGTTTCTACATCATCAACTCTCATCACGATACGTTGTATCAATACGGTTTCACTGAAAGCGCGTTCAATTTCCAAAAGGATAACTTTGGAAAAGGCGGTAAAGGGGGTGACCCGGTTCTCATGAGTGTTCAGGACCCATCCGGGACCAACAATGCCAACTTTGCTACTCCTCCTGAGTAAGTTTTTTTTTTCGTCTGCTCACGTTTACTGTTATTTTTTGGAACTGAAATCATCCATCAAATTCGAATAGCGGTCAATCTGGAACGTGCAGAATGTTCATTTTCACTATCACGACACCGAACCGCGATGGAGTCCTCCAAAACGACATTCCTCTTCATGAAATGACTCACGGACTTAGTAACCGATTGACTGGTGGTGGTACTGCTCGTTGCTTACAGACCAATGAGGCTCAAGGTATGGGTGAAGGATGGTCGGACGCTGTTGCCGAGTGAGTTTTGCTTTCTTTCCGTTATTCCTCTGTTTAAATTACGTTGCGACTGATGTGGACAACTCCGTTTCCGTTCGAATTACTCGCAGATGGTTTGTCCGCTCCGACACGCCCGAGATTACCGACTTTGTGACCGGTACATGGGTTCTCAACAACACTGCAGGTGTTCGAACAAAGCCTTATTCGACCTCGATGACGGTCAACCCTTATACATATTCTACTCTTAAAACCTTCACTGAAGTTCACGGTGTGTATATTTACCTCATTTTTTTGTATGAATGATATCCTGACTCTCGAGTGTCACAGATATCGGAGAGGTAAGCCAACGAATCGTAACCGCGTAAAAATCGAGAATCTCACCCACTTTCCCTCTTTCAACCTTTTCGCTTTGTAGGTCTGGTAAGTACTCTACCTCGCTCGATTTTCCGAGTCACAGAACCTACCTGACATGTCCCGTTTCTTAGGGCAAACATGCTTCACAACGTCTACGCCCAACTCGTAGGCGCACACGGATTCTCCGAAACCGCTCGAACAAACGCAAACGGAAAGGAAGGAAACATCGTCTACCTGCAACTCCTTGTCGATGCCCTCGCCATACAACCTTGTAATCCCACTTTCCCCACAGCTCGTGATGCTTGGATTCAAGCTGACGCCAACCGATATGCTGGAGCCAACAAGTGTCTGTTATGGAGTGTGTTTGCTAGTAGGGGATTGGGTGTCGGAGCTGCGAATCATACCGATTCGTTTGTTGTCCCACCAGAGTGTCCTCAGTAGGTGGTGGTAATTTATTCCTTTGCTCCTTTTTTTTTTGGTTTCACGAGAGAATTTTGGGACCAGTCTTGTAGCAAAGAAGTATTCTTAACCTATATTTGGATGTATGATAATGTACTCACTCACTTCATCTATCTAAACTTGAAGAACTTGAAGGGTTGAGGCCATGTTTTCTACGGCCTCAGCCGCCAGCGGGAGCATGGATGCCGACGGGCCGCTCCGCGGACCCCCTTTTTTGCGACGCTTTAGGCCGTCATAGCGTGATTTCCATTTCACCTTCACTCGTCTCTTAAACTCGGAGTCGGATGGCCCTCGCAAGAAACGACGAAGAAACAACGCCTCTTCTCCCCAGAAATCCCAAAAATCTGAAAAGCAAACTACAAGACCAGGTCGATGCGAAAGACTGCATACCGATACTGACTCTAATGATTTTTATAACCGGTTTTCTGTAGGTTCCTTCATTATTTTAACTCTACGTGATCTTCCAACACAACTTCAGGGATGCAATATCATTCACAACTCTACACGTTTGGGCAGCATTCCAAACAGGAAATTCTCTCCAGGTATGCTCTCATTTTTCTCTCACCGCTCCTTTTTTTTTCACCCCTCTTTCATGTGATTCAGCTTTCACTAGCGTTATCTCGCCTTACGGCTCTGCCTAATGAAATTCCCGCGCACTCGAATCGGATTTCCTACGCTTTTACCACGGCCGATTGGGTCGCCATCGCTTCTTTAGCATTTTTCAACCTTGGAGCATTCGGGGGCAGTCATTTGTTCAATACCAAATCAGATCGCCAAACGAGAGGATGGATGATGCTCTCGAGTTTTATTCAAACGCTTCTAACAATTGTTGCTTCGTTACTAGATCTTCATCCTCGAGGAGAAGATGGTAGCATCAAGATGAGAAGATACATATCTCTCGTTTTGGTCGCGGTCAGCCTCGGAATGCAAGGTATTCAGGCAAAGAAATTGGGTACATCGCAGTTTGGTACATCGCGTGAGTTTTTCATGGCGTCTATATTATTATTATTTTTCGTCTGATCCGTCTTTTTTGGAAGTGGTTCTGACAACAGCTTGGGTCGATATGATGAACGGTCCATTCTGGGTACCTCATTTCCGGGACAGCAAAGCGTTACCCATCATTTCTCTCATATTGGGTGGTTTTTCAGGCGGTTTTATCCTTCGGTATGACTCAGTGTAATCGATCGTACTCTTTCCTAATGATGCTATCGGGACAGGTACACTGGCGTCTCTATTGCTCTTGGCTTAGTCGCTTTGCTGAGGGCGAGTATGGTTATCGGGTGGTTACTCGTCCCAGCGGTTTCTGATTTGTGAGATGAGAATTATCTTCCAAGTTTATGGTTATAGTATCGTTATTCAAGAGGTACCCGTATTCATAATTTTAATCTCATATTGTCATCTCATTTCCGGTCCATCGGAATGAGCTCCGCCAGACCTAGCATTGGATCCCAGTCCTACGAGCGCCAAGTCCCAAGCCTCTTACGCCGCGTTTACTCCCTTAGGAGTCGGTCAAAGCTACGGCAAGTAGTACGACCTGTCAATCAACCTCAATCTTGTACTTGTAAGGCTAGTGTCCTCTTGTTTTGTTTTTTTTTGACATTGCCGGCAGTACTCAATAGCCTGTGAGCTCACATGGTCATTGTACTGACTGTTTTTAGTTATAAAAAACGTTGTGTTTAGTCTGAGGAACGTTCGAACACCGCTTTTCTTCCGACACTTTGAATTGGTTAGAACTTGGGGTACCTTCCCCTCTGGTTTTTTGATCTGGTGATCTGGGTTATAAAAAGGAGGTGTCTGTAAGCGACCGAAGAAAAGTGAACCCTTTGAACATGCCTTTCAGTTCACCCACGTCCCTTCCGTTTTCAGCGGCTGTTATTCACCATCCAAATGCCCAATCGAACTCTGCGAGCTCCAAAGCTGTGAGAACACTTGTAAGTGTTTTCCCCTGACTTGCATGCTCGACACATCGAAAAACTAGTGTCTGCTAAGCGGCCAGCTGGGGACAACACCAAAGCGACTCGAGATTGGAGTCTTGGCTCTCAGAGTGTGGTGGATAAGGGTCGAACAGCCGGAGAAATCGAGAGCAGGAGAGGCCAAACGGTAGTGTAGTACTTTTTTTTTCGCTCAGAATACTCAATGAACCCACTCTGGCTTGGCTGGCAGGTGGTCTTCGAAGAGAAAGAGGGATAAGAGGGACTTGTAAAAGATATCCTAAAAGTTGTATACTCAAAGATACCCAATCATTCTGCACGGGTCGCTTGCGAGAAAAAAGAGAAGGAGGAGTTCGACGGTGTCATGACCACCGCAGGGGTCGAACCTGCAATCTCCTGATCAGAGTCATATTATGCTCGTAGTCAGACGCGATGCCATTTCGCCAGGCGGCCATACCATCTGTATGTCAATGCCAATTACATATACGGACGAGCTTACATATCGACTCCGCACGGCGTCCCTGGGTACGGAGTACGGAACACCCTGTTTCTTCCCCTTGCTTTCCAACCATGACCATCCTCCGGCTCATTCACCAAAGAATCCGAGGCTACGCCACCCAATCCACCTCTCCTCTAAAACGTACAGGCTTGTACGATTTTCACCTCCAAAATGGAGCAAAAATGGTCCCATTCGCAGGGTACGAAATGCCCTTGAGCTACGCGGACGTTGGTCAAGGTGTGTAAGTGCAATACAAACGCCTTTTTCTTTTGAATCTCGGAAAACTGAGGAAATGGAAGTTTTTAGTTGCCAGTCACAATCATGTCAGAACCAGTGCGGGACTGTTTGATGTCGGGCATATGGTTCAATCGAAGTGAGTTTTTTTTGGTTGCTATCACTGTTCTGGCTGTCAAGGCCTTGTTTACGTTTTTGTTCCACAGCTTCCGAGGGCCGAGTACGACGCAGTTTTTGGAATGGCTGACACCGTCTTCGCTATCTGCGCTCAAACCGTACCATTCGACTCTGTCCGTTTTGCTCAACGAGAAAGGTGGTATTATCGACGATACGGTCATTACGAAACATGCGGAAGATGCATTTTATATCGTTACGAATGCTGGAAGGCGGGATCGAGATCTACAATGGTTTAAAGACAAGCTGGAAGAGTGGAATTCGGAAAAGGGAAAGGGAAAAGGCGCGAAGGTCGAGCTTGAGGTTCTCGAAGGTTGGGGCTTACTGGCACTTCAGGGTATGTTCTTCAGTTCTTGGGGGGGGCATTTACGGGATTATTGACGCCAAAACGGGACTAAAGGCCCAGAATCGGCTTCATATCTCCAAACTCTTACATCCTTCGATCTTACTACACTGCCCTTTGGAACGTCGGCCTGGGTGCCAATAGAAGGGTTCAACCTACATGTCGCTCGTGGAGGATATACAGGAGAAGACGGATTTGAGGTATTCGCCAAGCTTGGTTATTTGCGAGAAGAAAGCACGAGCTCATCCCACTTGCGTAGATCTCTATTCCACCTTCTCAAACGGTTGACGTAGCAACTCTGCTCTCCAAGGACCCCAAAGTCGTACAGCTCACAGGTCTAGGAGCCCGAGACTCTCTCAGGCTGGAAGCAGGGATGTGTTTATACGGCAACGATTTGGATGAGACGACGTCTCCTGTGGAAGCTGGTTTGACCTGGGTCATCGGTACGTTTCGTCTCGTTTCGTTTCCCTTCTTGTACCGAACCTTGCTTCCAGGTAAAGACCGGCGCGAAGTGGGAGAGTTTATTGGAGCTGAAGGGGTCCGAAGTCATCTCAAAAACGGCCCACCGAGAAGAAGAGTAGGATTCGTGATTGAAGGTGCACCTGCCCGACGTATGTATACCTTCCTCGTTTTCCGTTCAGCCCTTCGTGGCTGACGTTGGTTTCTTCCACAGAGGGCGCCAAGATCTTCGTTCAACAAGTACAGGTCGGAAGCATAACATCCGGAATACCTTCACCGACGCTGGGAAAGAATATTGCCATGGGCTATATACAGAACGGACATCATAAGAAGGGAACGGAAGTTGAGATTGAGGTTAGAGGGAAGTTGAGGAAGGCCATGGTTGAAGGGATGCCGTTTTTGAAACCAAGATATTATCGGGGGTAGGCTTGATCGGAACCGTCTATACCTGGGATAGACGCTCTGTTCTGGTTGACAGTATTTCGGTTGTAGGAATTGATGGGTCATAGATATTTGGAACCCTGTATGTTTCTGTTTGTGATGTTTGCAGTGACTCCAGTTCGGAGAGCAGTCAACCACTTTCTGTGGTATTTTGCTCTGTCACTTCTTCCTCCTTCAACCTTTGAGTTTTGTGCAGTTCGACACCTTGCCGTCAATCTAAGGCTTGGACTCATCTGGAAAATTACATACTTCTTTGACGGATAAAATGGTAAGTTGGGTCATTTATCGTCATTGACATATCGCTTAAATCTTTGTTGATTCCCTGTTTCTTAAAGATCGCTGTAAGGCTTGACCACCCCTTGCAGCACCTCCCCCACCCCTTCTCTTGATCCACCTGCACACAGCTCCTCAATGCCTCCCTCCTCATTGTCTTCCCCATTGACGAACTTCGAAGACAGGGCGATCGCTGCCAAAGTTATATCTGCTGCAAAGACGATGATCGATTGGTGCAAAGATATGCTACTACCTCCAAAGGTACGTCAACCAACTAATAAGAACATGGCGCTCAGTGGCGAATTCGTATGTTCTCCATTGAAGGAATCGAAGGATGGAATCCGTGGGGGGGACTTGCATACGATGTCCGAACCTTCAAAAGGGCCTTCCACGCATGATGTATTATCACAGGCTATCAATTGAACAGGCACGAAGAAGCTGATGAGGATTAACTTTCATCCCGTTTAACGCTGAAGAGCCCAAGCTACGACTTACCAGGACTGAGCGAATTGACGCTCGCTTACCGCGAGAACCGGTGACCCGGTCGCACTGTTATTGAGCATGAGGTGATACATTATTTGGGTGTCAAGCGGTATCACAAGCAGAACTAACGGCCCTAAGACGTATATCACCGTGAGCTATTCATTCCTACCGCTTCTCCGGATGTGAGTTCGGGCGAAACTTGGACTCGTGCCGGAAGATACGCGTGCTACGCAAGTACTACTCGAGGGAGCTGCTGTATAGCGGGTACGTCCTTGAAGCTTCGAGCTAAGTAAGTGAAGCACACAGAGAAACAGTAACTACCTGGTCGATATCGTTGGGCGGTGGGTGAGTCGCGAGTAATTCGGGTGTACGTAATCAGCACTTGCTTATTAATATTCGAGGTGGCTTCCCACGCACTCACTTGCCTCTCGACTCCCATGTCGCCACCCCGCTTTCACTGTCCACTTCAAGTTTCAGCTCGTTAGCCTCCCGTTTCTTTCAGGGTTCCTTATCAGTTTATCGTGTCCCAACAACGAAGACACGATCCCATTTTCAGCGGCTATAATCAATTTCGTCGGACATCATTGGCGTTGAATTGAAAGCTCGATGAATCATGATCATGATTGTACTTGCACTAGGTCTATTCAGAGGAATGCCACAACACAATGCAGCATGGCTCGCCAAACACATGATACTATGAACGCACAGGTACGCTTCAGCAGGAGAAACTAACACGCCGACAATCTGAACTCAATCAGTGCTTGTTTGAACAGACGGCGGAATATCCGGAATCTGAATCAATGTGGAAGGTCAAGAAAGGCACTTACTCATTGCTGGAACCGCACATAGTGGGAGAGGTAAAAGATAACTTTTACCCCAATGTTCAAATACTTGTCATCTCTGGACCGTTGTTGGTTTGGAATGAAGACGGTTCGTGCCCGGTAGCTTAGCTCGAGACCCCCACGGACATGCGCTCTTCTGTATGGCTCAATCATATGGACCCGGCAAATCATATCCGCAATACAGTTCGGAGGGTAAAGCGATCATGATATTGGATAGGACTTTCTCATCTGAGGGTGGTATTCAGTGATACCAGCAGGAAGTGAGAGACGTGCGCTTTTGTTGTTTCCATTCGATAAACTGAGGACGTGTCCCAGTTATGGTACTGCTCGGTCTGTCTCCATCTTTTAATTTTGTGCAATATATAAAGAGCAAAACCTCACGAAAAATGTTTCAGCAGCACCGATTCACTTTCCAGATGGCTTTACAATCATCTCTAGCTCGACTTGCTATTCTTCTAGTAGTTTCCAGCGTGGCCCACGCTTGGTTCAGACTTCCATGTACTGCCCCTCTCGTTCAAGGTACGGTGGCTCGTTCTACTGCGAGCAAGACGCTAACAATATCGAGTAGAACGTGTCGATCCCATCATCTCTCCCGGTCAAGTTCCATCCCAACACGTTCACGTAGGTCGCGCTAAATGAGATCCGTGTTTCTACCAATGCTCAAACAACTATTATAGACAGTACATGGCGGATATAGTATGTTCAATCTTCTATCGTCGATGTAATCCAATCTCTTATCGACCCTCTACAGACTTCAAATCAGACAGTACCTTTGACTCTTTGCGTGGCTCAAAATGCACATCATGCCAGGTTGCCCAGGTAATCCTTGATCGTCTCTTTTACCCACCTTAGTGACTCATAAGCGACACCTAGGATCTCTCAAACTATTGTAAGCCTCGAGTCACACTCATCAATAGCAAATCATGGCCTTACATTCAAACCTTAGGGTTTCCAAAGTTATATTTCCGAGACCCCAAGACTAAGATGTTCGAACCGGTTCCGAACGGAGGTAAAGAGTCGTCGGCTTTTTCGTATTTCAACATCAAGCCTCACATGATTTCTAGGGCTTCTGGCCTATTATCAGAACCGTGGTACTCAGGACAAGATTAACGGTGGCCCTGGACTGAAGGCGTTCCCACCTGGTTTCAGGATGATAAGTGGTAATCCCGCCTTAAGATCCAAGAAGTCAGTCTTCAACCTTTATCAACCCCCTTGGCACGGTCTTCACTTACGGACACTCAGGTATCCCGATGGATTGGGAACTCAGGCAGAGCTAGCAGAGCGTGCTATAGCTTGGGCATGCTTGAGATATACAACATCGAATCCGGATTATTATGGTACGATTTAGCACTCATACCCTCGCCTTTTCAGTCCTCATTAAAAAAAAAACATGAAACAGGAACTGGCGGTTTTCCTCATACCGATTGTGAAGTTCGTGGTTTGCTGAACCGGGATCCCAAATATCATGACTGACCCACTCTAATTGTTTAGGCCGGTTTCCAATCCCGAGTTCATTTCCCTGCTTGCTGGGACGGAAAGGTTTGTTTGCGTTTTTCGTTCGCACTTGATTGTGCTAACATTTCTTGACCCTCTTTTTCGCAGAACGTCGACAGTGCGGACCACAAGTCTCATGTCGCTTTCCTTTCGATCCTCGACAACGGAAGCTGTCCTCCCACGCATCCGGTTGGGCTGATGAAGCTGTTTT